TTATTGGTATATAAATATAAATTATGAAAACTATACAAATATATGGCATTTAAACTTTAAAATTGAATTTGTTATGAAAATTACTAAAATTGTAGTAAAAGTTTGTCCCCAATTGGCGTACTCTATGTACAGCCCTGAAGTGACGTCAATCTGATTGAATAAATTGTGACTAGAATTGAACCAATGAGTCAATTCTGAATGAAATAATTAAATATAGCGGCTGTCATATAGACTACATGATTGAAAATTGAGTCATTGGTTCACTAATATTATAGCCGTTGAATGCATTATGCTCAGATGTAATCGTCATTTCTAACACTTTCTCGGTGACGGTGCGTGTGATTGGGTGTTGTAGTGATTACGTAACCCATACACCACTCAATTGGTTGGCAATACCTCTAGTGGACAGTGAGATGATGAGCGCAATGCTGGGCACTAGTGATGAGTGTAGGGGTCATAGTATAGCGCATATACCGGACGACGCCTTCATAGAGTCGTACTGATCGTCTGCATAGGGGTTAAGAATCTAAGCTTATTATTAGTGGTGATTGAGTGGTCAGGCATGTGGTGGACATACCTTCGGGCACCTGCTGTATGAGTGCGTCGGCCATCTCGGGAGTGGTCGTGAAGAGCAGGTCTTTGACCAGTTGTACGGATATCTTGCGTTTCCTATACTTCTCCGCCGTTTCCACTAAACGCCGGATATTTTCCTGGAAATGCGGAAAAGTGATCAAATGTTAGACATTATTGCATTGGTATGGAGGGTATTGGGGGCACAGGGAGGGCTGGCAGGCATACGTTGTAGTATATTATATATGCATGGTTAGTTAGTTAACTATGGGCTGATATGCGCCCACTTTTAAAGGGGTTTAACATTAGTCTAAAAAGTTTTGTAAAGTTTTGGCAAAAGTTTGATAAAGTTTTGATGAAATGATTTGCCACTGAAATGCGTGTAATGTTAGCATAAATGATAGCATTTACTGAATGTGTGATCCATTGGTGACACATATTTTGTTTGTTGACATTATTTTGGAGATAATATGTGGTAAATGAATGGGTGATAGTGTTGGTGGTGGAGGGGAGGGTGAGGGGAACGGGATGCGACTCACAATGCGTTGCTGTTGTCTGGACTGTTGCTTCTTCATGAGCAAGAGCTCGACAATAATGGACTGTTTGTTGGGGTCGACTACCCGTCCGTTCATTTTGAAGCCCTGCATGAGTTCGTTGCC